GAACCACAGATACAAGGTTAAAACTATACAAATCAAGACATTACTGACATTACAGGAATGATATCAAAGGCACTTTAATTTGGAGAAAGAGATAAATTTATATAAGACTGACATGAGAGGAAAAAAAAAAATCAAAGGCAGAGCATGTAGAAAAATAATTTCCTAATTATTTGGAAGATTTCTTTTCTGCGGTATATCTATCCTCTAAGCTTATCACAAGATAAGTTTATCTCCTTCTCCAAATAAAAAAACTTAATACAGAATAGACCAGAAACAGTGTGATGAGGGGCAAACACATTGAGATGTAATATTTTCCTTTATGGGTAAATCACTTCTGAATTTTGCACTTAAAAAAAATCTTAAAATATTATTACAACTTCCTGGCATTCTTATGAATGTGGACTGAAAAGGACATACACATGCTGGTTATAAATAATAAGTCTTACTTGGTGATAAACCAATTTATATACTAGATTTTTCATCACAATTTTAGGGAAGTTTTGGAGAAGAAAGCTACCAGAAAAAGAAAAGATACAACTATATCTAAAGAAGGAAAAAATACATGTCCATAGATGATTATTAACAAATTGCATTGTTCACCCCTATTCTTGTATTATGGACAGAGTTATAACTCATACCACTACACTGACATAGATTATTACTTGAATACTATTCTTACTGCTCTTCATATTTATGAAAATGTACCTTCCTTAAAAAAGATTGTCAAAGGGCCTCCCTGGTGGCGTAAGGTGTTAAGACACAACCCATGAAGCTATCCACAGCCATTGCAGCATGAGTCTGATCCCTAAACAGGTAGCTACCCACAAGGTGCAGCAGACCTCTACTGGCTCACCAGCTGCTCCTCTCAGCAATGTATTTCAGTCAGTCTGCCTGTTCTGCTCCCCACTCTGTCTCTGGTGAATCCTCTCACCTCCCCCCACACCTCTGGCCTGTCCCCTGGTTCTTGTATGCATAAATAAATAAACCTTTAAAAAAAAAAAAAAAGACTGTCAAAGACAAAGGAATCCAGATGTTAGGTCCTAGCTGTGAGACAGTCAGTCACAAAGCATTAAGCCTCACTTTCCTCATCTGTGAAAGAACATTAGATCATGTCAAAGATCTCATCTAGCTCAGCTTGAACAGTCCATGACACAGAGTTTGTGATAGGTGTTTTACATCTCTAAAATCTTCAAAGGCTTTATTCTGAATTAAAATATATAGTCATAGGAAGCAATTAACCAGGGCTACTACACAAGATGAGGCCAAACATAATAATTATCTGGGGGTAGAGAAACTCAAGATAAGAAATGATTTTACTGCTTGGGCTAAAGATCTCTATTCTTTGCCTTTCTTCAGATACTAAGTGTTAATGAATGATTTCTTGTTACATTTCAATCAAAAATAGAAAAAAATCACTAAATCCATAATTAAGGCACTTTCAACATCAAATTTGAATTGCAAATTACTTTTCTGGATTATGTATACAAAGGAAGATATATTTTAAATAGGCTTTATTGATAAACATAAAGGAACTATCTGATCAATATTATAAAAAGAGGGAGAAGGAATAAAGAATCTATATTCTATTCCATTCTAGTTCTCAGTTTAAAATAAAAATACTGAAAGCCTACCATTATGTATTCTTTGGGATATTTTATTTGCGAAAAAAGAGATGAAACATTTCCTATATGTGGCTGCAATGTACTTTACCACTCATGCATTATGCAGGCATCTAAAAGTGTTAAAAAAAAGTTTATGGCCTGTAAAATGATTTTTGACTGTAGTTTTGAAACATCATATGAAATTTAACACTTCAAACCTATATTCCTTCAAACTTTTCCTATGGGAAAGAATTGTTAAATGAGTGAAATGAGTAAACAAAACAAATGAATAAGCCAACATAAAGAAAAAAACACATCATCTTCCTATATTTCAACCATAAATAGTATTCAATGGAAACCTGTTACATATAGTCACTTACAACCAAAGATCAGAGCTAACTGAGCAAGAAATATCATCTTGTAAAAGGGTAATCTGTGTCACAAAGATACTGAGCTTGGGAAAACTACTCACAAAGTGTCAACTGTTCCAAAATCTCACTCATTCCCCAAAGAACTGGGCATATACAAAAGGAGAAAGTCAAAGGATTGATCAGCTATAAAGGCAAAGTCTAGGTAGGAAAAAGAAAACATGAAAGAATGTTAAAAGAGCCTTCCAATCCCCCACACTAGACCTTTTCCACTTCATCTAGACATCTTCCACTCCAACCCTTGGGCTGAGGAAGGGATCAGCAAGAAGGGCACTCTTTGAGTGGGAACAGCCTCTAAAACTGGTATCCAGGAGTCAAGCCAGAACTCTGCTCATGAAAAAGCATGGCTGTCTGTGAGGGACACTGTCCTCTGGTTTCTTGGGTTTTTTGTTAGAGATTTATCTCCCTGCCGCACAGTTTCCTCACACCCACTTCCATGTACCATACCTACTGATCCTGTACTTCCTGCTCATAGAATAATTCCCATACCCTCGTTGAACAAGCAGTAGTCCAAGGTCCCTAGTTCCCCTTAGACACAGATGACTGAGTAAGGGCTGGACACACTCAACTATTATCTTTCTGCAGATACAGATTCCAGTCAATTGCCAGGTATACAACCACTAGTAGAAGGAAATACTCATTCCAATAATGATGGCCATTGAGGTTACATACACTAACATATACTAACATATAATCAATACTTCAGAGAAATTTCAGAGAATGAAATGGATTTGGAAAGAGCATCAGAGTCTCTGTGCGGGGCTTGTGCTCTCTGTGGAAACAGGACACAAGGCCAGGGCAGGAAACTGGGTAGAGTCAAGAGTAACATAGCATTCTCTTCCCAGTTTGCCAATTTGCTAAACCTAATCTGAAGAAATGTTGTCACTCTCCAAGATTAGATGTTTTACTCTAAGTTGATAACTATGCACACTCGTACACTCAGACTTGATCCTGATACCAATATCCACTCTCTTTTTCCTCCTGCCATTAACAGAAGCATATAACACTTTTCCTCCCTATATTCAGTCTGAGCAAGCCCAGACTTTTCTTCCTCTTCTCCCTACTTTTCCTAACCCTAACCTAACCCAAAATCAAAGCATCATCATGGTTAACACACTTTGGATGGCATTTTACTTAGCAGGTCCTCCATAAATGGGAAAATAATCTATTAAATTCCCCCAAGTGACTATTATGTCATCATCAAACATTTCCTTTTCCCGTTCGGGGTCACTTAAGACAATAGAGTCAACTATTTATTTATTTATTTATTTTTTAAATAGTAGAAGTCAGCACTCCCTTTTTTTTAAGATTTATTTATATATACAAGAACTGGGGTACAGTCAGAGGAGCGGGAGGGTGAGAGAATTCACCAGAGACAGAACAGGGAGCAGAACAGGCAGACAGATGGAAGATACTGCTGAGGGGAGCAGCGGGCGAGGCAGAAGAGGTCTGCCATGCCATGTGGGTTTCTCCCTGGCCAGCTGGGACCCGAATCCTTGCTGCAGAGGCTGCAGACAGCTTCACAGCACGACACTGAACCCGCTGTGCCACTGGGGAGGCCCAATACAGAGTCATTTTTTTCTCATGCAGTCAGATCTATCATTCATGCTGCCCTCTTGCAGCCTACTGCAAAAGACGAGCTCTCAAAGAGTCAACATGTTTCAGCAGGGGTGCTTGTCCCTTGGACTCTGACTTCAATCCTCACCCTGACAACAAACCTCTCAAGAAAATCTTGTTCATCTCCCCATCCAAAGTCACAGTGATACCCACTGAAGGACTTGCCTCCCCCATCAAAGACTCAAAATCAGAACATATCTCAGCTCTAGGAATATCTATTCTCACTTTCTCCGATTCTTATCCAAAAAACCACAAGTACCAACTAAACTTCAAATCACCCCTTAATCCCTCCTTAAAAAAGGTACATATGACTTTTTATATCATGTTTCCATTAAAACACAAAATTCTACATAGAATGTTTCCCTACTGTTTTTATTATTGCTTTATTGTGTCAAGAATTCATCTATTTCCTAAGGTATTTCCTTCATTTTCTAAAATTATAAACACACACTATTGAGCCTATCACAGGCAATTAAAGTGCAGGAAAAAAAAGAGAGAACAATAGATGGGGGAAAATTATCACCTGTCTTCCCCACCCTGTTTATTATCCCTCTCCTCACAGCAAACCTCTGTTCAAATATATTGTTTCTACCCTTGTAAGACAAGATTCATTTTGCCTATTGAATCTTTTCTTTGTTTTGTTGTTTCAGAATTGGAAGTGTATTAAGAAAAGATGGAATTATTCTATGACACATTGATTTTTTTTTTTTCATAAAATGTATAGTCATGATGGATAGCCCCATAGTTACTTGGTCCTTGAAATCAAATTTGCAGTCAGTCCCAAACAAGCTGAAAAACAAGGAAATTATGAAAATAAAGTCTGTTTTCTAATCATCGCTTACAAGTCATCTGTCTTCTGCAGTCTGAAATCTCCAAACTGAGGAATTCACTGAAATGAGGACATGTCAAGTCCTAAACTCCAATTACCTTTTGCCACAGACTCACTATATCACTTTCCTTTCGTCAATAAGGTTGGTTAGCTTGTGTTAAAATGTGAAAGATTAAAGAAGGTATTAATGAAACCAGTAAATCCCCTTCTCACCATAATAACACTGACTTTCCTTCAATTACTGAATTATCACATATAACATTCCCACCTATTCTGTGAATAGCTCCCAGTACTTCCCATATATTTCCTCATCTAACCCATTCCAAATCCCATAGGTAAATTGCAGTATTCCCATTATACAGCTTTGAAAACTGAGGCTCTAAAAAAATTGCCAAAGATTTATGTTAGTCATAAAGTAATTTAAAGTAGGCCTTTGTTCATATTGCAGATTATTAAATATCTGAGAGTACATATGAATTTAAAACTCCTAAGATTTTTGAGTTAGAAATATTTTTAAAGGCATACCTGTTTTTTCCTTGAATTTGCTTTGGGAAAGAGGCCTGCTGACAACACAGATGTAAATGGAGAACAGCATAGCTCAGGAAAGGGGTTTGGAATAGATGGCATTTCTAGAACATCAAGATCTTTCTTTTTTCTCCTACACCAAGAGAACATAGGATGTAATTTACATAAAACAGAATGTAAAATATAATTGCTGTCAGAATGAAAAAGTTAAGAGCAACATACACCACTCTGTGGCAACACTAATATTATATAAAGTATATAGAAAACATATGTGATGTACTTTCTGTGGGTCAAAATAAAATGTCAGATGATATAAATAAATCTTCTATAGTATTTATTCTATACTCTTTTTTTTTTTGGCCTTTAGAAAAGAAATCACTGAGCATAGAAAACCTACTTGCAGAACTTTTGATAATGCTAGCCAAAATTAGACTATATAATTATTGATGCCAAAATCACTCTCAAGAATTAGACATTGCTATACATCTATTAAATTGACAAAATCTATAAACATTTAGTGAATTCACGCCGATGCTATTTTACTAATCACTTTTGGAAGTTATGGCTTATTAATTATAGCTGTGGTTCATCTCACTTCAAATTTCATTCACAATGTTGCCCACACACAGTCTGTTGATTTTGCAAGTGCTTATAGATACTAAACCGCAAGGCAGTGTTTTTCAGGAGGTAAGTGAATAGAACTTGCTAGTATAAATGTACTCGAGTCCACTGCTGAGTAATTTTAACTTCAGTGAAGTTGAAGCACTTTGAAAATTTAAGGAAAAAAAGTACCATTTAAAAGTAAGGCTATAAACGACTATAGATTTTTGTATTGCTGCAGCCTTTTTCTTTTCTAAAGTATGTGCAAAATTGTGAACTCTAAAGGCACTTAGTGCTGAATGCTATGGAGATTGGGAAACCTTTTAAAGCCTCTATTCTTTCCTGCTGCACAGCAAGACTGCTCAAATTTCAATCCGTGCTTTGCTTCTCCAGGGTCGCTGTAAGACTCTGTGGGTGGTGAACTCATTTATGCTGCGATTTTTAAAATATATAAAATAAAAGGGATTGTTTATTTTTTTAATGCCGGGCCAAGAAGAAAGGAGGAAGGGGGTTGAGGGGGAGGTGGTCTTCCAGGAGCCTGGCCTCCTAGTTTCACACCGAGCGGCTGAGACGAGGACCGGGAGCTCTCAATGAAACGGTGATGCTATTTATAAGGCGTCGGGAGATCGCAATGTCCTGCTGATCCGGCAGGAGCCAGCTCAAAGGGAATTGTCTTCAGAGACTTTCACAAACTTGGCCCAGCTCTGGGCACATGGTTCACCCCCTAGGACCGCCTCCTCACCCCCCAGCCGGCTGCCAAGCCAGGACACTCCCCCGCGCCCTCCGGGGCTGCCTACCTGTCTGCGGCACAGCCGCGGGTCGCGTCCGGAGCGGGCAGGAGCGCCCGCGCGTGCAGCCAGGGGGCCGGCGCCAGGTCGCGGGCGTCGCCCCTCCCCTGGGCAGCGCCGCACACCTGGGCGGCCAGCGGCGAGTCCCGGGCAGCCGCCCTGCCCGCGGCGCCCTGCCCATCTTGCAGGGAAGTGGTCATTGTCGCCGGCCGGGGGGCGCGAGCGTCATGGGAGACCCGGCGGGGGGCCGAGGCGGTCGCGCGGCGGGCGGAGGCGCGGGCCGGGCAGCCGGGCGCGCTGCAGGTGCGGTGGCCTCGCCGCCTGCGCTCGGGGCCCGGGCGGCTCAGACGCGCGGCCGAGCTGTCGGCGAGGCGGCGGGGGAGGGGAGGGGGCGGAGGAGGAGGGTGGGGAGAGGGGAGGAGCGGCCGGTGGGTGGGGGCCGCGGGCGGCGGGGCGAGGCGCGGAGGGGGCGGGGAGGGCCCCGAGCGCCGCGCGGGCCCGCGGGGGGCCTGGGGCGCCGGGGAAAGCCGGCGTCCGCCGCGCGCGGCCCGCGCGGGGGCTGGGGCTGCGGGTCCCCGGGCTCCGGCCGTCGCCTCCTCAGGTGGGCGCCCGGGTGGAGGTTGTGCCTCGGGTCAGGGCGGGCCCGGAGCCGCTGGAGGCAGGGACCCAGCCGAGCCCGCGATCCCGGGGGGCCGGGCTGGCGGCTGGCGGGGCTGGGGTCTGCGCACCGCTGTCCTCACCCCGACCCCCGACCCTTCCATGCTTGCTGCTCTGCGATCTGCGCTCACCTAAGCCGTCGCTGGGCCGCCATGACAGGCCCCACCGTGCCGGGAGGCCAGGGGGCCACAGGGCTGGGTTTGCCCCAGTGCTTTCCCCACGTGCCTCTTATTCCTTTCACTCAGCTGCCAAAGACTTGGGGGGCTTGGGGGGCGGGGGGAGTGGGGAATGGAGGAGTTGGGGGGGCACTGGGGATGGGAATGGGGGAGCGGATAGTACCTTCAGTGTAGACAACTACTGAGGTGTTGGGAGAATTCTTGGTAAGGTGTGAGTAAACCTGTAAACCTGAAGAAATGATCGGTTTACTTTGAATCAGAGCAGTTCTCCTTAATGACTTCCCACTCTGCCTTTCCTATTTTGCCCCTCAAAATAGTCTCATTAATTAGATGTTTACCCATTTTACAGATAAGAGATGAGGCCCAAAGCCATCAAGTGTGTTACGCAACAGCACACAATTGGTGCAGTGAAGCTTCCAATCCAGAAGATTACTTCTCAAAAACATGCATACTATTTGCAATACCAATTGCTTTTATGCTCACCCTCAGATACAGCAATGCAACTCTGAAATTCTGTATGGTACTGTTTCTGTTCTGCCTGTAAGTGACCCCTTCCCATTCCACTGTTGAGGGTTACCAAATGTTTTACACACTCTTTGTTCTTTGACCAAATTAGGTAACATCTGTCCCTGGCATCTGTTTCACCAGGTTTTCTTAACCTCCACAACCTCTGCCCAGGGAGCTGCAAACACTGTCTATAGAAGAAACAGGGAAAATCCCTCCTTATAGCCTTGCATTTTCTGTCCTTGCCCCCCCCACACACACACACCCCAAATCACTCAGGCCTCACCACCGCCACCACCGCATGCACTTAACACCATAGCACCAACCACTGCTGACACTCTGGAATGGATAACTCCCAGCCTGTGCAGAAACCTGGAGTATTCCATGAAGGCAGAAAAATCTGAGTCAAAGAGGTTAAAGAACCCCACTTCTTCATTTTCCTTAATTCAAAGTTAGAACAAGACTGGTCTAGGACAGGATATAGTCTCCTAGAGGCTTTATGCAATGTCAAGTCAGGACAAAATGGCAGTTCTGAGGAGTAAAATTAATAATACTAATCATGAAAGAGTTAACATGCATTGACTCCATGTGCCAAGCCTAACATCCTTTTTCCTGAATTATGGTCTGTATGCTATGTGTAGGCTTTAAGAGAGTTTACTAAAAAAGCACAAATATATTGAGGTCATTCCAGTCAAAGTAGAAATAAAGTAGAAATAAAACATTATTGTTGTCAACAGCATTCCTATTTTCATCCAAAACTCTTGTAGGCACCCATTTCTCTCTAAAAATGAGATATTAACAAACTAATAGAAGAGTGAATTAACAGCTGAAGTTTTTTCCCTCCTCTTCTTCTGTCTCTCTTTGTCTCTGTCTCTCATACACGGCCTGCTACTTTTTGTTGGAGAAAAGGATAGATGGAAAATACATATATCTTTGGAATCACTGAAATACTAAAATACCATTTCAGCACAAAATTTTAACCTCAATAAGAATAGTCATTGGTGGGAGTGAGATCACAATTGCATCCTTCCTCTTCGGGTAGTGAGAATCCAGGGAGTATCCATTTGCAGGCTTTATGTTCCTCCAACCCCCATGAGTAAAAATTATAATACTTGGAGTCATCAGGAGCAAAAAACTAAAAGAGCTAGTCTCTAAGGAATGAGAACCTAAATAGTTTTGCCATGTGGATCAGCATTAAATATTGAATTTATTCCCAAATACCTTGAGGATCTGTACTAAGAATTAATAAAATTAGTTCATTCACATTTTTTTTTTAGATTTGTATTTATTTTTATACAAGAGCTGGGGTACAGGCCAGAGGCGTGGGATGGTGAGAGGATTCACCGGAGACAGAGCTGGGAACAGAACAGGCAGACAGACCGATATACACTGCTGAGGGGAGCAGTGGGCGTGACAGGGGAGGTCCGCAGTGCCATGTGGGATTCTCCCTAGCCAACTGGGAATTGAACCAGCTCTACAGAGGCTGCGGACAGCTTCACAGCGCTATACTCAACCCGCTGCGCCACAGGGGAGGCCCTCATTCACATTTTTGAAGCAAGTCAACAAAAGAACTAGGTTTGTGTCTAAGAGGATTATAAGAAATGATTCTAAATAAACAGCTCTGCAGACCTACTTAAGCTAAGAGAATTCAGAGGCATTTTTCTACCAAAAGGAAAGTTTAAGATTCCTCATAATTAAAGAGTTCTGAAACAATGAAGCAAATATCTTGGTACCAAAGAACTGGTCCTCCCCTGAGTGGCTGTTGTCCTTTGTGGGTTGAGTCTGTAAACTTGGAAAGGAATACTTTGCTTCTGGCCCCTCCCCCACGATAAGTATTTTCTGCCCCTTTCAACTCCCTTTCCTGTCTCCCTGTAAGCATCCTGTCCTTCCTGCCCCTGAGGAAATGTGTCCTCCTTGCTTTCCTCTCTTCCTTTTCCATCAAATCAAGTTTCTTAACCCTCTATATTGGGAAAAATAACATAAGCAGAGAAGTGGTTCACAAACAAAAATTGTACGATGACTTGTTACCAAAAAACCCCTAACTTCAGATCATGAAATGATTGTTGTGTCTTCCAAAAACCTCTCCCTCCAATCCAGTTTTAATAGTAATCAACTCCTTTTTAATTACAGTTCAAGCATAAGTACAATACCTAAACACAATAGATTAGGTCACTTGGATTTTATCTTTATAGAAATGGATTCTTAAAGTGTGATCCTTGTGTGCTTGACTTCATTCCTTTAACATAATATTTACAGTATTCTTCCAAGCTTTTGCAAGTAGCTCTAATTCTTTCATTCTTTCAAATAGCGATAATTCTTTCATTCTTCTATTGCATGTAAATACAATTGATCCGTTCTACTACTGATAAATATCTAGGCCCTTTTCCACTTTTGGCTATTAACACTGAAGCAATGAATGTTTTGTACACTTCTTGGTACACAGTGCATGTGTTTCTTCATAGTATGTACACAGGAGTGGTATTGAGAGGTTATGATATGTGTATGTTCAGCTTTAGGAGATTCTGCCAGTTTCCTGAATTAATTTACTAATTTTCCTGCCACCAGCAATGTCCAGGTTTCCCTTTTTTCCCTTGGCATCAAATATTAGTAGGATTTACACAATAGACTTTCTCGTGGGTATGTAGCAGTATATTGTTGTGGAATTTGACATTTCTTGATGACCAACGTGTGTCAACATTTTTCCATGTTTAGTATTTACATGTTCTCTTTCAGGCATGACAGTTCATATTTCTTGGCCAGTTTTATGGTGGATTGTTTGTCTTATTCTTTTATAGCAATTCTTTTTATATCATAGGTAATAGCTCTTTTTTGCTTCTTTTGTAAATTGTCCCATTTTGTATCTTACATTTTAGATGTCTTGATGGTATCTCTTGATAAAGAGAAGTTCTTAAGTCTAATTTAGCGAAATAAATTTTTATGATGATATTTTTAATATTCCAGAAATTACTTTGTCTTTTTCATTAAAATCTGTGATCCACATGAAATTGAATTTTCACTTTTTTAAAATAGAAATATAATTGACATACACTGTGTTAGTTTCAAGTTTAACACATAATTTGATCTTTCCAGCCATTGTGAAATGATCACTACAATAAGTCTACTTGCCATAGTTTCTTAGCAGCAATCAAATTTTTTTTGACTTGAATAGCATTTTATTTTATTAATTTAAATTTTGTTTTTATATTCCCCATACAATTACAACCCCCTTATTTTGACCCCAATCCCTCCTTTCCCTGCCCCTCACCCCCCATAGTGTGTCTCTGGTTCATAGTTGTTTGTTGATTTTGATATTTTCTTTCTTATAGTTATTCTTTTTCCATTTAAGTTTTCTAGATTCCTGCTATGAGTGAGACCATCCGGTATTTTTCTTTTTCTTTCTGGCTTATTTCGCTGAGCATGATCCCTTCCAGCTCCATCCATGTGCTGCAAATTGAATGTGTTTATCTTTTTTGAATGCTGAGTAATATTCCATGGTGTATATGTACCACATCTTCTTGATCCAGTGGTCATCTATTTTGGGGCATTTGGGTTGTTTCCAAAGCTTAGCTATTGTAAATAGAGCTGCTATAAACATAGGGGTGTAGGTGCTCTTTGGAATTGATGTTTCTGTGTCCTTTGGGTAAATACCTAGGAGTGGAATTGCTGAATCATATGGAAGCTCTATGTTTAGTAGGTCAAGAAATCTCCACACAGCTCTACATAGTGGTTGGACCAGTTTGCACTCCCACCAACAGTGCAGGAGAGTTCCTTTTTCTCCACAACCTTGCCAACATTTGTTGTTGCTAGTTTTTTTAATATGTGCCATTCTCACTGGTGTGAGATGGTATCTCATGGTAGTTTTGATTTGCATTTCCCTGATGACAAGTGATGCTGAACATTTTTTCATATGCCTGTTGGCCATTTGCATTTCCTCTTCCAAGAAGTTTCTTCTTAGCTCTTCTGCCCATTTTTTGACTGGATTATTTTCTTTGTTTTTGTTGAGTCTCATCAGCTCTTTGTAGATTTTTGTCATCAGTCCTTTATCATTAGTGTTGTGTGCAAAAATGTTCTCCCAGTTGGTGGGGTTTCTCTTTGTTTTTGTTATTGTCTCTTTTGAGCAGCAATCAAATTTATAATGCCATATTATTGATTATAGTTCCTAGTCTGTACATTGCATCTACTTGACTTCTTTCTTTTATAACTTGCAGTTTGCATCTCTTCATTCATTTATCCATTTCACCCTCCATCCAATCCTCATCCCTTCTGTGACCACAAATCTGTTTTCTGTATATGATTTTAGTATAATTTGGTTTTTTGGATCCCACATATAAGTGAAATCATATGGTATTTAAGCCCTGTCTGTCTGTTTCTTTCGTTTTAGCATAATACCATTAAGGT